CTAGCATTTCTGTCGATTCCATTTCAGCTTAACCGGCTATCCGGGAGAATACATGCACCGTACTAACTGCTACGGCAGTTATTTTCTCCTTTGAATACTGCCCACCTGCAATAATGATTCCGTAACGTACTCCTTGCGCTATCTTTTGACCATTTGGCAACTTTTCGTTTCGTAGCTGACACGGTACAACACTTTTTTTTCGCTTACTTCACACGGCCAGTCATTTTGTTTACAAAGAAATGGTGTGCAATGCGCATGCGATAGTAGAGGGAAATCCCTGAACAAAACGTTGGTCAGACAGGTAGAAATACCGATGATTTTCTTAGATTTAATCATTTTTATGAATCTATTTCTGCCAAATCCGATCGTTATTTTCCATAAGGATCGAGTCTCACTTGATATGTTTATGTAGTATTTGAAAAAAAGTCAAAAAATAAAGTTACTTCACCGTGATGCCCCTTTAAATATTCAGGTGAGCGATACAGGCCCTCTTGGGCCTCTTGTTCTATGTATGTAGTCATATTTTTCTTTATTTTTCTCTTTCAGAGCATGATGCTATGGATGTATGTTTGCGTCTCCGTGACAACGGCCTCCTTGCCAAGCCTACCCATGGTGATATCATCAGATTTGCCCCGCCTCTTATCATGGCAGATGATCAGATGATGGAGTGCATCAGCATTATCAAGAAAACCATCCTGGAATTTGAATAGATATCATCAGTGTGTTCGATCCCTGTTGAATAATCAGGGTGGGAAATATTATCTACTGTAATGTGTCTATGAGGACATTCCTGCTATTCTATATACAAAGCTGCTGATTTGTTTATTTTGAAGGTATTTTTTGCTTGAGAATTGAGATTAAGGTTATACGTCAGACATTTATTGGTGAGGTCAAGCTTTATATAATTAAACATCTCTTATTCATGTTTTACGAGAAACTTTTTCAGCAATGGTAGAAGGATGGCCTAAATATTAATAATTTCACGATCCTTCGGCTCTTCATGATAGAGACATTTTGTGCTAATCCATATAACCAAGTAAATGACAGGTGAAATGTGACATTTACTTCTCTGCCATTTTAATAGATGTTCAATACTCATCCTAGATATATACAACTGTATACATATATGGGGGCTTTAATGCTTTACTAGTACTATTATATATTGTTTGTGCATGGTGTTATGCAGGTTATATAATATACCAAATAAATTATTTTTCTTTTTTCCGATCAATTTTTGAGGTCAAAGGTCAAAAATGTTTTTCCACTCAGTATCTTGTGTACTGCGTATGACAAGACTGGGTTTTTTTTGGGGGGGGGGGTTTGGCATCATTTTTTTTGTCTTGCCAATACTCATATGTTGTTTATAGGATAACAAAATATGAAATAAAACTCAGGTAAACGTGATTTCCTCTATCTGATTTTTAAAAGGAAGTAAAAAATACTGTTATGTTCATAAGATATTTCTTACGTACCAAATGTACTTTCAAGATTATAAGTAAAAATTTGCTTACTGTAAATGAACATCAAATGTTTGAGAGTTTTATTTTTTTAATGCATAATAATTACTATAAGTGACTTTTTGTTATTATAGTTAGAACAATCCTGATATATAATTTTTAATTACATTGATTTATTTACAAATTATATATTGCAATCTTTAGGAGATATTGCAATATATCACAATATATTGTATTCCTAGAATTCCTTATTTTACTTGTACTGCCGTTATAATAAAAGAAATACGAAATGTGAGCATCCCTTAAGCAAGGTTCAAAAATTATGTTATATAGTCTAGGGAGTTATCACACCAAGCAAGCTTAATTTGGATGATATTGGTTTAATTTTTTTTCAGTAAAGTTATCTATGCTTAAATTGAAGACAAATTCAAAATCATATCACAATACATATGTATATATTGCTAGACCTGCATTATTATGAGATTATAATTTTATTGCTCTTTGAAAACATGTTTTTTACTCTTCATAATGATCTGTTATTCTTTAGTATGTTTTGTTTCTTGTATATCATTGGGTTGGTATTGAACAATTTGTAAAATTTAAAATGCTTTTCTCTACCTACAGTGGAATCTGATAGCTATTCATTTATGTTGTACAGCTGTTATATGAAGTTATCAACAAATGGAGTATAGTTCTACACAGTACGTTAATGGAAACAAATTTGAACATTGAAGATTTTTACAATTTTAGGTTAAATGTAGTATCATATGATATTTTTAAAAGTGAAATCCTGTTGCAATGGCCGATTTTACTACAGAAAGAGATTTTTAGTTTTATTTGCCAGTAAATCAAAGTAAAGTGTGGATCATTTTGGTAAGTATTATATATGATTAGGTTACTGAACAATTTCCTTTGCATGTTTTTTCTTGATGTGTAATTCTGTGTTTTCTATTTCTTCATGAAATATAGTTGTTACAATTCTGTAATGAGTGAAGAAAACTTAACAGGTTCCAAAGTATGACACAAAATTTGTTGGTATGTTTCCTTTTATTGAGATTAGGTCCTCAATATACACTTATCTTTAAATGGTAACCAGTGCTAATATAAGTTTTATGACTTTTAAGTCAGACTTGTAGATTTGATTTTTTTTACAATAAAAAAATGAAAATATATTTATTTTTTATTTTTGTCAATCAGTGATTACTTTGAATGTGATTACATGTACACACATGCTTTATTTACAAGTTCGATAATTCAGAAATTAAGATCTAATAAAATTAGATTACGATCAGTCTGTACTGATTAGTCCTAAATATTCTAATATGTTTCATCATAATATTGTGGACCTTGTTGAGGTAAAAATGGTTAAATCTATCTTCTCAGTACAGCATCTGTGTGTAACTTGATACAGATCAATTCAGCATGTGTGTGTAACTTGATACAGATCAGTACAGCATGTGTGTGTAACTTGATACAGATCAGTACAGTGTGTGTGTGTAACTTGATAAAGATCAGTACAGCGTGTGTGCGTAACTTGATACAGATCAGTACAGCGCATGTGTGTGTAACTTGATACAGATCAATTCAGCATGTGTGTGTAACTTGATACAGATGAGTACAGTGTGTGTGTGTAACTTGATACAGATCAGTACAGCGTGTGTGTGTAACTTGATACAGATCAGTACAGCATGTGTGTTACTTGATACAGATCAGTACAGTGTGTGTGTGTAACTTGATACAGATCAGTAAAACATGTGTGTGTAACTTGATACAGATAAGTACAGTGTGTGTGTGTGTGTAACTTGATACAGATCAGTAAAACATGTGTGTGTGTGTAACTTGATACAGATCAGTACAGCGTGTGTGTGTATAACTTGATACAGATCAGTACAGCGTGTGTGTGTAACTTGTAACAGATCAGTACAGTGTGTGTGTGTGTAACTTGATACAGATCAGTACAGCGTGTGTGTGTGTAATTTGAAACAGATCAGTACAGTGTGTGTGTGCAACTTGATACAGATCAGTAGAGTGTGTGTGTAACTTGATACATATCAGTACAGTGTGTGTGTAACTTGACACAGATCAGTACAGTGTGTGTGTAACTTGATACAGATCAGTACAGCGTGTGTGTGTGTAACTTGATACAGATCAGTAAAACATGTGTGTGTAACTTGATACAGATCAATAAAACATGTGTGTGTAACTTGATACAGATTAGTACAGTGTGTGTGTAACTTGATACAGATCAGTACAGTGTGTGTGTAACTTGATACAGATGAGTACAGTGTGTAACTTGTAACAGATCAGTACAGTGTGTGTGTGTAACTTGATACAGATCAGTACAGCATGTGTGTGTGTTTAACTTGATACAGATCAGTACAGCGTGTGTGGGGATAACTTGATACAGATCAGTACAGGGTGTGTGTAACTTGATACAGATGAGTACAGTGTGTAACTTGTAACAGATCAGTACAGTGTGTGTGTAACTTGATACAGATCAGACCAGTGTGTGTGTAACTTGATACAGATGAGTACAGTGTGTACCTTGTAACAGAGCAGTACAGTGTGTGTGTGTAACTTGTAACAGATCAGTACAGCGTGTGTGTGTATCACTTGATACAGATCAGTACAGTGTGTGTGTGCATAACTTGATACAGATCAGTACAGTGTGTGTGTAACTTGATCCAGATGAGTACAGTGTGTAACTTGTAACAGATCAGTACAGTGTGTGTGTAACTTGATACAGAACAGTACAGTGTGTGTGTGTAACTTGTAACAGATCAGTACAGCGGGTGTGTGTATAACTTGATACAGATCAGTACAGTGTGTGTGTAACTTGATCCAGATGAGTACAGTGTGTAACTTGTAACAGATCAGTACAGTGTGTGTGTGCAACTTGATACAGATCAGTACAGTGTGTGTGTGCATAACTTGATACAGATCAGTACAGTGTGTGTGTGTAACTTGATGCAGATCAGTACAGTGTGTGTGTGTAACTTGTAACAGATCAGTACAGTGTGTGTGTAACTTGATCCAGATGAGTACAGTGTGTAACTTGTAACAGATCAGTACAGTGTGTGTGTAACTTGATACAGATCAGTACAGTGTGTGTGTGTATAACTTGATACAGATCAGTACATTGTGTGTGTAACTTGATACAGATCAGTACAGCATGTGTGTGTGTTTAACTTGATACAGATCAGTACAGCGTGTGTGTGTAACTTGATACAGATCAGTACAGCGCGTGTGTGTAACTTGATACAGATCAGTACAGCGTGTATGTGACTTGATACAGATCAGTACAGTGCCTGTGTGTTTGTGTGTGTGTGTGTGTGTGTGTGTTACTTGATTCAGATCAGTTGATGCTAGACCAGTGATCTTTCTTGAGAGATGTTTCATTACACAAAAAAGCTATCAGTATTTGAATATTCCAAACAAGTTATATTCTTCCGTTCATTCAAGCCTCTCTCTGTTAAAAATGCAGGTAATTTGATTTCCTATGAAAATGTTGAGGTGAAAGATTGTTGCAGGTTAATCCTCGGGGACTAAGGAATCCACCGGCTGTATCTACCACCCTGTAAATCTCGGGGACTAAGGAATCTACCAGCAGTGTCTACCACCCTGTAAACCTCGGGGACTAAGGAATCCACCAGCATTGTCTACCACCCTGTAAACCCTGGGGACTAAGGAATCTACCAGCAGTGTCTACCACCCTGTAAACCTCGGGGACTAAGGAATCTACCAGCAGTGTCTACCATTCTGTAAACCTCAGGGACGTAGCAATCTACCAGCAGTGTCTACCATTCTGTAAACCTCGGGGACTAAGCAATTTTCCAGCAGTGTCTACCACCCTGTAAACCTCTGGGACTAAGGAATCTACCGGCAGTGTCTACCACCCTGTCAACCTCGGGGACTAAGGAATCCACCAGCAGTGTCTACCTCCCTGTTAACCTCCGGGACTAAGGAATCCACCAGCAGTGTCTACCTCCCTGTTAACCTCCGGGACTAAGGAATCCACCAGCAGTGTCTACCCCCCTGTTAACCTCCGGGACTAAGGAATCCACCAGCAGTGTCTACCTCCCTGTAATCCTCAGGGACTAAGGACTCTACCAGCAGTGTCTACCACCCTGTAAACCCCGGGACTAAGGAATCCACCAGCAGTGTCTACCTCCCTGTTAACCTCCGGGACTAAGGAATCCACCAGCAGTGTCTACCTCCCTGTTAACCTCCGGGACTAAGGAATCCACCAGCAGTGTCTACCTCCCTGTAATCCTCAGGGACTAAGGACTCTACCAGCAGTGTCTACCACCCTGTAAACCCCGGGACTAAGGAATCCACCAGCAGTGTCTACCACCCTGTTAACCTCCGGGACTAAGGAATCCACCAGCAGTGTCTACCCCCCTGTTAACCTCCGGGACTAAGGAATCCACCAGCAGTGTCTACCCCCCTGTTAACCTCCGGGACTAAGGAATCCACCAGCAGTGTCTACCTCCCTGTAATCCTCAGGGACTAAGGACTCTACCAGCAGTGTCTACCTCCCTGTAAACCCCGGGACTAAGGAATCTACCAGCAGTGTCTACCACCCTGTAATCCTCCGGGACTAAGGAATCCACCAGCAGTGTCTACCCCCCTGTTAACCTCCGGGACTAAGGAATCCACCAGCAGTGTCTACCCCCCTGTTAACCTCCGGGACTAAGGAATCCACCAGCAGTGTCTACCACCCTGTAAACCCCGGGGACTAAGGAATCCACCAGCAGTGTCTACCATTCTGTAAACCCTAGGGACTAAGGAATCTACCAGCAGTGTCTACCACCCTGTTAACCTCCGGGACTAAGGAATCCACCAGCAGTGTCTACCACCCTGTAAACCTCAGGGACTAAGGAATCTACCAACAGTGTCTACCACCCTGTAAACCTCGGGACTAAGGAATCCACCAGCAGTGTCTACCACCCTGTAAACCTCGGGGACTAAGGAATCCGCCAGCAGTGTCTACCACCCTGTAAACCTCCGGGACTAAGGAATCTATCAGCAGTGTCTACCACCCTGTAAACCTCGGGGACTAAGGAATCTATCAGCAGTGTCTACCACCCTGTAAACCTCGGGACTAAGGACTCTACCAGCAGTGTCTACCATTCTGTAAACCTCGGGGACTAAAGAATCCGCCAGCAGTGTCTACCACCCTGTAAACCCCGGGACTAAGGAATCTACCAGCAGAGTCTACCACCCTGTAAACCTCGGGGACTAAGGAATCTATCAGCAGTGTCTACCACCCTGTAACCCCCGGGACTAAGGAATCTACCAGCAGTGTTTACCACCCTGTAAACCTCCGGGACTAAGGTCTCTACCAGCAGTGTCTACCATTCTGTAAACCACGGGGACTAAAGAATCCGCCAGCAGTGTCTACCACCCTGTAACCCCCGGGACTAAGGAATCCACCAGCAGTGACTACCACCCTGTAAACCCCGGGACTAAGGAATCCACCAGCGGTGTCTACCACCCTGTAAACCCCGGGACTACGGAATCCACCAGCAGTGTCTACCACCCTGTAACCCCCGGGACTAAGGAATCTACCAGCAGTGTCTACCACCCTGTAACCCTCGGGACTAAGGACTCTACCAGCAGTGCCCACCATTCTGTAAACCTCGGGGACTAAGGAATCCACCAGCAGTATCTACCCCCCTGTAAACCTCGGGGACTAAGGAATCTATCAGCAGTGTCTACCACCCTGTAACCCCCGGGACTAAGGAATCTACCAGCAGTGTTTACCACCCTGTAAACCTCCGGGACTAAGGTCTCTACCAGCAGTGTCTACCATTCTGTAAGCCTCGGGGACTAAAGAATCCGCCAGCAGTGTCTCCCACCCTGTAAACCCCGGGACTAAGGAATCTACCAGCAGTGTTTACCACCCTGTAAACCTCCGGGACTAAGGTCTCTACCAGCAGTGTCTACCATTCTGTAAGCCTCGGGGACTAAAGAATCCGCCAGCAGTGTCTACCCCCCTGTAAACCCCGGGACTAAGGAATCCACCAGCAGTGTCTACCACCCTGTATCTTGAGATAGGAACGTAAGGAACACACATATGTGAATGCACCTATACAATTTTGTAATAGATGCAGTATAACCTCTGTGTTAACAAGAATTTAGCACTATAAACTGAATATCTGTATTCTAC